AATAAAGTCGAATTGCCATTTTCTGCTTTTTTTTTAAGATAATGATGAATGTCAAGCTGGGAAAGACAAGTGTAAAGACGATGAATTTTGTTTCAATACTTACGGCTTTTACCAGTGTATACCAAAATTATCCTGTTCTTCAGATTACGTTCAAGTCTCTGACACGTAAGTACCAAAAGAGATTTCTTTTCACGCTCTGTTAATTATTGTTGACTGGTCGAGATCATACACTTCAAAAAATCGTTTTATAGTTTTCAGCCAATCTTTTTAAGTTTTGAACATTTTCCATTCGTAAAGCCAATCTCGATCGTCAGATGCTCGTGTTTTCTGTTTTCAGGCGATGTGACAGAAAAAGCTGCAAAAGTGGTGACCAAGCCTGCTTTAATCAAAAGGTTCAGAAGAAGAGCCTATGGACTTTCCGGATGCGTAACAACGAAACTTCGTCAACAATCTTCAACTATCGCATTTTTACTTATGGTAAGGACTCATGGCCCTAAGGAAAACATGGAGCTAGGTCTAGACACTAGTTGCCCAGCAAACTTTTTCGGTATTTTTCACTGAAAAGTCGGATTGTTCCCTAGACCACGAAATTGACAGATGTCTGATATTTTTCTTTTGATAAAGATCGAGTTCAAACAGTTTCCATCTATCTTGGTCCATCTCAGTCTATCTTTATCTGGCAGTATCTGGTCCTAGCAGTCTAGGTGACACTTATCACATGGTTGCTCAGTTAAGCAAACACCGTCAGTTTTGGGTTTAAAAGCTTGTGCGTGCCTACCGAAAAAAAAATCTGCAAAAACTTTTGTTATTTTCAGAATCTATACTTCAAAAGCTTTACAGTGATAGGTAGTTTTTACGGTTTCTCTTAAAGAAGCGCGCGCGTGGAACGATTTTTCTTAAAAGCACCTTATTCTGTTGACAATAACCTTAAAAATTTCTTCAATTTGGAACTACTCACCCTTCATTCCTGCCTAGCTTATTTAAGAAAATAAAGTAGGTTTCCTTAGAATTGTATTTGGAACGATTAGAGAGATTGATTGAGTTCAGAGTTTCAATCAACAGGCGTACCTTTTAGTCAGCTAGGCCTCAATGCAGAAATAACTAAAAAGTATGATTGTAATTTTTTTTGTGATTACTTCTTCCTATAGGAGGCGTAAAAATTGTATGACATCAGTAGCTACATGAAGTCTTTGACTGTGTATTTTTTCAGGAATATGTTAGCAGTGTCTTTGTTAACGTTTCGATAACTAAATTTTTTTTACAGGCTACAAAGTTCGACCAATGGTGAAGTTCTATTTTAATCGCGGGAATGAACTGGGGTTTTTCGAAATTCAGACGCAGGATGAAAGCAATGGGGTATCTGCTTCCATCCGAAACAAAGAAGCTATTGAGGGCCGTAGGAGGTTCATCATGGAATTCTATGGAGATGTTATTGATGCTGAGAAGGGCGAACTGGTGTCACGCTTCGAGCATCTGATGTACATTTTCGTGTCACGTTACGATTATTAACCTGCTCCAGTATGTCACGCAAAAAAAAGTCTTGACCGTCTTTTCCCTCAGTTTAAAACTGTGCTAGATAGGTTCGAAGAGATCTGGATACGAATCAATGCGTGCAAGTTGTCATGGGTATGATTGTGTTCGCGTAAAAGTAATAGGCTAAAAAAACCCCTTTCATATGTTTACCTTTGCTAATTTCAAAAGAGTTTTCTCGACATAGGAGAATCTGGTATAGTATAACTTTGCTGGTTAATTATGTTTAAGGTATGTTTTGTTGTCAAGGTTTCAGGAGTGAAGTTATGTGCGCTTATTTGTCGTTGTTAGATTACATCAATATATATGCGACTTAATTGAACGAAGTTTGTAACTCAGTTATGGGCTTGCAACGTCGTTTTGGCGTAAGATAAGCTCGAAAAGTATCCCTATTACTCGATAACATTTTATTGTATTTCAATAGTTTAGTTTTACCTCAACGTACTTTATATCCTCAAATTTCTTGGTCTATGTTGTCAGATTTCGTGTGATTTAGCGAGGGAATCGTAAATGCTTGCGTCAATTTCCCGACCTTAGTTTGAGGATTTCGATAAGACA